CCTCCTATAGATTCTTCTTAATCCTAACAGTCCTTCTATAGCTGCATATGCTCTTTACCTTGAGGTAGTGCAGAGTGGAGAGCTTTAAAATGAACGCAAAGTCTTTTGTAGTCTCATAGCTCCCACACACCCCCTCTGCCCTCTGCTTTAAAGCCCACTCTCACATCCCCCACCGACTATTGACCAGCACGCACCACTGCATACAAAACACAGCCACGCTGTAACTTAAAAACCCTGTGGGTGAAAAGGACACTGAAAAAACCTTTAATGAGATATCAAAGTTGAAAACTGTTCAGGGCAATTGATTAACACAGACAGTTAGATAGAAAGAGACTTGTTACCAGACTTCATCACATATCGCAGAAGGTCATTAAACAGGGCAGATGCAGCAGAAGGGATTGACATTGTTATTAGATATGACTCACAGATGTTGTATAGGCTTGTGCATCTGGTACAAACCTAAATCACCCTCGAACAGACATAGCAAAGGTTCAGGCTTAGCAGGGTTATCCGGTGTAGGTAGAATGCATTTGACCCTTGGCCCGGCTGCTGGAACCAATCCTTTATGATTTCTTGTCCATAAGATAACAGAGACAGATTTGTTTCAAAGCTGTGGCTATCCCTGGTGGTATAGTTGTACTTTCATAGATCAATAGATGTGTCCTACGTAAGGTTTGCTTATATAATTATATTCACTTGTTGGTTCAGTTGTTGCTGTTGTAAAATGCTACACAAATAAAGTTTGATTAACTGATAAAGTGGAAAGAGCCAGTGGTGAAATGTAGCAATGTAAAAGTAGTAAAGTATTGTAAAATTTTAGGTAAAGAAGAACATTTTAAAGTTCTTTACTTTTATTTCACTACTTTTTTTTTTTTTTAATCATTTTCTTTATCTGTACTTTCTACTCACTACATTTTTGACCAGGACTGAAAAAGTAAAAGTAATTTTTATTGTTTGAGAACTACTGAAAATGCTGAAGGGTTTATAGTTTAAATAAACGAAAACACACACATAAAAACAGCTAGGAAAAAAAAACATCAATTCAGTTGTTTCTGCTGTACAAAATTCAGCACAAATCTTTATCAAAATCAAAACATTTGAAGTTTCATTAGACCGTAAAATCTGTGTGAACTATTAAAATTTTTTTTTACATTTTTAAACACATACTTTAATACTTTTACTTAAGACGATTATTTCATGTGATACTTTTACTTTTTATTATTTTCTTAATTTTTTGCTCTAGTACTTGAACTAAGTAATACAATTTAGAATATACTTTATTCATGGAACAGCAAGAGCCACTAAACAAAACAAAAAAAACAACAACAAAATATTTACAAGTTCCAGTCGTCTACAATCAAGGTCGAAAAAACCAATCACCCAATCACCCAGTCCCCCAAGAACCTCTCAATCCCCCTCTTGAGTAATAGTTCACCTCAAACGCTGGATCACCGGTTTTGTGATTTATTTCAGTGCCGCTGGATATGGAGGGAGTTGGCAGTGTTCCCAAACGCCGAGCTATTCTCCTGTAATAATGACAAGAACGGACCTTTTGCTAAATACACTAAATCTACAATTAACCCGAATGGTGAACCCAAATCTCCATGTCCTCAGGCTGGCACAGTGGACAATGCTCCTGTTAACAAACTTTGCCTCTGTACATGACAATTAAAAGACAGTCCACAAGTTGATGGAAGCTTGCCTATTTACTCATTCTGGATGGCAGCATATGAATAGGTGCTTGAAATTCTGCTGAAACAGAGAGGTCTTTCATGCGCGCTAATGAGAGACTATGGGGATTATCTCATCCTCAAACAAACTCCTGTGGTTAATAGTGGGTAAAATGAACCAGTCAACTACAGAAAATTCAATATCACCAAGAGCCTGCAGACTTCCCTGTTTGCATTCTTTCTAAGTACAACGACTTCATGCCACTGTAAAAATATGATTTGCTTGTGACTTGATTAACTCCTCAGATAATGGTCTATCTGGAACTGTGGGTAAATAAGGTCAGGCAAAATAGTGGTGACTTGGATAACACTCTCACCTCCCAGTAAGAAGGATTTGGTCTCGAACCCTGAACTATGTGAGACTCTTGTGTGTGTTTGCATTACCTCTCCATGTGTCTCCCCAGCAGATCATTCACGTTTTCATAAATTCAAAACATGTAAAATGAGCTTATCTTCAATCTACTTAGAAAATCATGGGTTTCCTGTTATCGGTGACATTTTGTGGACTTTTCACAATTCAAAAGACATATTTTGCTTTAAATGGTTAATTTCTGTGGTCCTCATTGTCAGCATTCTGAAACCCAGGGATAGATAAAACCTCCAAACACTACCTGTAGCCTCTACTCGTTATTGATGCAGTGCCATTGAAAGGCAGAGAAACTTCCAACAGGCAAAAGAGTACTAATGTGAACCTACCATAGGGATAAAAAAAACTAAACATTAATGGATAAAACAGCACCTGAGGAAATATGGTCACTGTTTAATCCTCTGAAAGCTTCACAATGGATTGTTCATTAATTTGGTTAAAAAAAGCATTCAAGTCAACAAAGGCACTGGTTAGTCATCAGCCAGGCCTTAGCAAATGTAATCTGTTCAACAGTTGTTTATGGAACGCTCTGGAAGACTCTCCCTCTCCATGTCTGAACAGAGCCCACAGTGAAGTGTTTCAAGTCTTGTCTTAAAACACACTTTTATTCTCTGACTTTTAACACTGTGTGAGTTGTGGGGTCCTCTGTGTCTTTTATTTATTTTGAATGTATTCTATTGGTTTATTTATTGCTATTCTATGGTCTTGCTCTTTTATTTTACTGGTTTTATTAATTTAAGGCTAGTATGATTAAATCGTTTAGAGCGTTTATTTTATCATTATATTATTATTATTGTTGTAAATTGGATTGGATCTTGTGTCTTACAGAATGTGCCACATAATTCAATCATTTCACCTTATCCGTATCTTTATTGTTAATTTTGTAGGCAGAGTGATAAGTTGTCATCTGAAACCCAGTAATAGCAAAAACAATACCTTCAAGCTAACTTTTACTCAGCACTGATGTAGTGTGTTGTTGCTGAGGATCCCACACAATATAAACTTTCTTAAGTAATCTCAGATGAGCTCCCAGATCCACTGAATCAGACAAAAGTAACCACAATAACCACAGTACAAATAATCAATGTGTCCTTTGGTTAAATTATAACATTGCATGCATTTCTGAATTCTTTCCTTCACAGAACCATTAAAAATCCCACAAAGGCATACTCAGAAGATTTAGTGCAAAACAATCTTTGATTCTACAGCCATTTTACCCCTCTGGAATGGACAAAGCACACTGTAATCTGTCACTTGACCAGCAATGTATATATAACATATAGTAGGAACTTCCCAGCACAACTCAGAGTACTGGTACTGGTTTATGATCTTCTGTGTTTTTTAATCTGTTGCAACCAACAAGTTTCATTGCAAACTGGCCTTGAGATAGAAGGCAGGAATGAAAGCTATTTTAAATGTTTTGGTATGAATTTATTAATACAGACTTGTCCTTGGCCTTTTGGCCTATCAACCAGACCCACCCAGTCTGTTATTCAGCAGATAAGCAAATTCAGTCAAGAGAAACAATGGTAGACAATACTATAAAACCATCTCACACCAAGTTTTCTTTATTACTACAAAAACAAAACATTGTCAGCAATCTGCTTTGAAATATTTCCATATTCTAGAAAGAGTTAAGCCCTGAATGCGATACAGCAGAAGTAAAAAAAAAAAAGACCATCATAAACTACAGCCTATTTGCAATGTGTGAGCAATACCCAAGATCTTTATGTGATGGGTATCATTTACTTAACAATAAAAAAGAGCAGGTCAGACTGTACTCTACAGCCAGTACACTGAGGACAGATTTACATGTACAGCACATGCCAGTGAACAATGCCTGCCTCTGAGGAGTGGGCCTATACTGTTGATAAATGGGGTTCACCAGAGTTCACATCATTCAGACATGTGTGTTGCTAAATACATAATAACATAGCTAGTCCTGTAATCTAAATAAACGGAGCCTATGCATGTGTGCATGCATATAGCATTGATTTACAGCAACATACCTCTTTTGCTGCTTGGGCAGAGAAATGGTTAGTGGACAGTTCCCTCTAGTGGAGAGAAGTGAAAAGACAACTAAAAATATAGCTAGAGGTCACATTTGCAGTTCCTGCTGGATATATCGAATACTTTGGCAGCATATGAGAGTGGTACAGTAATTCATGGTTACGCGTCATAAAACAGATAAAAGAAGTAAAAAATTGGGCTCGTCCGGGATTTGAACCCGGGACCTCTCGCACCCTAAGCGAGAATCATACCCCTAGACCAACGAGCCACGTGAGCTTAAAACCCGTCAATATTACAATACTGAGAAGGGTCTACGGTGGATCTACAGGTATATATTATAGGCGAATTGTGAACTTGATTACCTTCTGATTAATTAAAAAGCTATTCTTTTATTGTCTTACCTGCTTCCAAATAACATCGCTTGTTTTAGTTACCTCGAAACTACCAAAAATAAGGGCGGGAATGATAAACGATACAACTTATTAAATCGTATTTAATAAATACTACTGCCAGCAGATGTCCCCATCTGAACAAAGTTATTGAAGCTCTTGCCTTTTCCCCACGTCCAAGCAATCATCCGAAATCCACAGACACGTACGTGTGTTTACTCTCACTTTATATTTTCCCTCCTTTTAGAAGACTATTTCGGTAAATTCAATAGGCGTTTAATTTTAGTTTGGTTTGCGTTAGGTTTAGTCAAAAAAATATTTAGGCTCATCTTTAATGCACGCGTATTTATTATCAAAACATAATAAATTACAGTTAGTACAAAAGCAAGCAGAACAATGGTAACAGTGTTTAGTCAGTGCACACTTCATTCAAGACGAATGGAGGGACTGTAGTAGGTCTACAATCAGCAGCCTTAAAAGTACATTGTCTTGTGTTGCCAGGTGATGATTCCATGAATGTTTTTGTAGATGGTGCGCACCGAAGAAGGGAAGCTGCCGTTGGGAATGATGTTCTGTGCATCAGTTGAGGCAGCCAAAGCAGGAGGGATGTACACAGATCTCACAAGGATCCACAGGTGAGATAAGCATGACTGAGAAATGAAAGAAAACACTGTTAACATAAAAGGTCTATATACAAGCTGGAGTCCTATATCAGCACAAATGGGTGCAGCCTGTTCTGTCTAATGAGTTTAAAGGTCCCTTAGGATTGCATATGTTTAATGTTTATAGGTCTTATCATTTTAGGCCACATTAGGGTGCGACATTTGTGGTTCATCTTAAATAAGCTATCAAATACTAGTAGCCACTAGGACGAGCAGTAATTATAGACATTTGAACTTTGTGTACAATTAGAAAAATGTATTTATTTTGGTAGAAAAATGTATTTATTTTGGTACTTTTTCCAGTTATGTAAACAAAATTTTATAACTGATCTATGTTACTTCCGTTATCAATTAAAGATGATATACAAGCCTGGAACCTTGGATTAACTCAGACTAAATATATACCGCAATGTTCTTCTCCCAGATGTCAAGATGTTTTGAAGAGTTAATCCTTATCCTATCTTCCTCTATCTTCTTTGTCACACCACGTGTACAATATTCATGAATCATGCGGTAGCCCTTGTAAGTCTATTTAGAGAAAAGTGGAACCTTTCTATTTATATGTAAAGTATGTCATCAAGAGGTTTGGTGTCTCTACAGTGTTTTATATATACTTTGCTATTTTGGGCTGGGCAATATAGTGATAGAAAAGTAATCATGATCTTATTCCTGTGAAAATATATTTTTTCAGTGAAATTGACAAATTATGATTCACAAATATTTTCAAAAATTCACCCTTATGCTCAAGCAAAGACTTTCTTCCCCCACCCATAGTGTTGATTTTCTAGGAACCAGATTACAGTTTCACAATTTCATTATCACCCCAACCCTAATGTATGTTGTATGTTTCTTACCTAGATTGGAAAGTGTCGTGGCTGCTCCCCTCCCCTGGCAAACTGTCTTGAAAACCTGTGGCAGCAGAGGGTCCTTGCACACTGATACAATGCTGGTTTCTGCGACATGTGGGTTGACCTCAAAATCTTCCATGGCCATCAGACTTTTCAGAGCCTTCACGGCCTCCAGTGGGAAGCTCCTGTCTCCTACCTGCAAGGGCCAAGGTGAAATTATGTGAAATTCTTAAATTTGTCTAGACCAATGGTTTTCAAATGGTGGTACGGGTACTGTTGGGGGTTGGAGTTTTATTTTTCCTTTAGTCACATCTGTTTGGAACTTAAATTTAAAATGTGTAGATAGATGAACATTGTGCTGTAAGAATTCATAGTGCAAACATAAACTATTCAGGTCAAGTAGTTCCAGGCAAAATCCCTATAGAATCTTCTCAACAAATCAACAGAAACTATTAAAAAAAGCAATTCTTACCTGTACATACACTCCAAAGGTGCAGCTGCAGAGGCATAGTCCCAAAACAAACAGTAAGACTTTCATTTTTACTTGCTGATTTGAGTTCAAGTTCTTGCTGAGTTCTTATGTGGTTGACTTCTTCTGTATCTCTGCTTTGTTGCATGGCCCCTTTATAGGTCCTGGGACAGCCTTGACAGTGATTTATGGTTGAGTGGCAAATAGGATGAGGTGGAAAGATAAGATAAAACGTAGTGTATATTCATTTTGTTATTTACAACCTACTATTTAGTTTCACAGTCCTCACAATACCTCACTATTGACAATAGAGTTTTTGAGTAACACAAATAGTGCCTCGATGTCCTAGTCCTTCATAAATTACAGTGATGACTTCTCTTTCATATGTGAACGTCATGGAAAGACAGATAATGAAGAGTTCATACGTGCAAAGTAGGGGACTATAGATAATTTATTTAAACAGCTATGATGCACAGGGAGTTTTGAACGCATTAACAACTTTGGTTATCTGTCCTCACACTTTAAAATGTCATTCATTGGTGATATGTGGTCTTGATACTGCGCATCATACATGTAAAAAAATTATCACTTTGCTAACATTTGCCATGTAGAGCACAGTCAGTGACGTTAGCATACACTTAATTCCCCTTTCCATGAATAAAGTCAAATACATAATCTGACCTTTGACCCCACAAGGTTGCAGTCTAGAATACAGAAATCAAGCTTTTAAAATTTACACTCCAGCCTGCTCAGATCTTTCTAAGAAACAAAATCCCTTGGAGCACATCAAGAGGAAGATGTTTTTTAACCAGATGTGCTCACATAACTATACCGTAGGACTAATGATGCCTTTAATGACTACCCCTTGCTCACTTGTTGTTTAGCCTCTTTTCCAATGTATGCCCCTCTTAAAGTATATCATCCAGAATCCAGATAATCAACTTTTAATGATTAACACCTTACCTATTCAATCCTATGCTGATTGCTCTACATTACAGTCACTTTTTAGAATGAACAGTGAATCAATGTAATTCCACTTGGCCTGCCACACTTGTTCTCCGCGAAGCTGTCAATTATCGATGAGCTAAGAATAGATGACAATATTTGGATTCACTCTGTTGTAATGATTGTGTCAGGTGGAACTATGCACTTTCAAACAGTATGCCCAGTGGGCCATAAACCTAAAGAACAACAGTTTCATTTCTTAAAAATTGAGAATAGTGTGTTCACTGGTGTGCCTAATTGGTGTTACTCATGCTTCAGTGTGGTCCATCTCTTATTCAGCAGATCAGACCACCTGTCTTTGAGCACTCCAACGGACACAATCCAATTTGCTTCATATTAATCACATCATTATTTTAGGAACACACAATGTACAAGCCAGTACTAGAACTACCTTTAAAACTGAACTAAACTCCCCCGTGACCAGGCCATGTTATACTAGATACTATTTGTTGTATGCATGTAAAAAATAATTGACAGAATGCTTATACTAATCATTAAATTGCAGTGTTGTATCAGAATTGTACTGGATTTCAAGAGCTAAAAAAACTGAAAATCTGTATTTATAGAATAGATTACAATACATTTGCCCAACATTGAAACAAATCTGGACAACAAAAAAGGCCGTCAAGATGGAGAAGTTTTGAGGTGAGTATAAACGTAACTTCCAGATGGGTACTGTTCAGTTTTTCACATTGGGAAATTAAGAATTAACCTCTAAAGATGTCTGTCTAATCCCTGAGTCATCGAGATAATAACTTCCAGTAGCCAAAAGATATTCCTCTGTTTCAGAATGATTAAAAATCTGAACGGTTGCCACAGTGATTAACAATTTAAAACAATATTATATCTTTTGAATAGGCAAAAGTCTTCAAAATTTTGCATAACAGTTAGCTGAAGCCCATAGTCACAAATTGTCAAGCCTGAAGTATTTGGGCATATGTACCATGAGATCTTACATGTGGCCTGATTTAACTATATTGCCTACTATACTATCAGCTAGAATTTTCAATATAAAATAAAACTATTGCAATAGTACAATATCATCCCATTTCGCTTTTGTGCTGTCAAAACATATTTCATTCTACCTTGAACTGTTAAACATGCCACAGCTGTTCCTATTGCTACAGCTATGGGTGCCGCAGTGAGTCCCAAAGCAGATAGAAATGCAAGCTTAGATGAATAATGAGATCCCCTCAGCCCAAAACACTCTCCAAGTAGATTTCTGAGAAACCGAGACACGCTCCAAAATGGTGTTGATTTATTTCCACCTGCTCCTATTTGGTCAGGGTCACTGGCTCTTGCTTTCTGCTGTTTCTCTGTTGGTAATTTTCTGGCAATCTCCACAGTGTTCTATCAATAAAGAATGTGAGACCAAAACAAACATCGCAGGAGATCATTCACAAAAGCCACAGTTTGATGGTACTTGTGTCAAAGCAAAAGTGAAAGATGTATGTAACCTTCTTAATATTAGTACTGGAGTCAATTTGATTTGTTTATTTTTATTTTATCTTTATTTAACCAAGAGGTCCTATTGAGATTCATAATCTCTTTTTCAAGAAACACCTGACCAAGGTAGCAGCCAACACAGTCAATACAAAACAGTCAAATTAAAGTATCACATTAGAAAATGCATCTCTCGAGAAAACCATACACACGCCTCGATCACCACACTCGTTACAATTTTCTTGAACTTATCAAGTGACACCCGAGATTCGGATTTAAGGTCTTTCTGTAAATTATTCCAAGACCATGTTACTGCGTAGGAAAAGGCAGAATGTACTTCTGCTATAACTGATGTTACTGGTTCTGTATACCACTTGTAGAAGTAACATGGACCAAATAGAGATTGTTGCATTCGATATATATTTACAGTGTCAGTTACATGTTGGCGACTTGCTGTTGTGTTTTTGTGTGTTAGAATTCAGATTGATACTTTTCCAATTACTTTCTATTCCTTATCACTAGTGTTCAATCATTAATAATATCTGGTGAGTACATAGTTGCACAATAGTGAATGGCCATTAGCTCCAGCATCTTAATCTATTTATAGACAACATCCAGAACTTATCACTTGGCCTAGTACATGTGCAATAATATTTGATGACAACATGTCCAACAGGGCCCACATGTGCTCTACACTGTATTTTATTTTATTGGCATGTACCCCATTTATGACATCAACCTGTCCAAGGACTGAAGCTGGAAATTAGCAATTTTGCTCTAACCTGGCACCAACACATGACCTCTTTTGGTCACTCAGTGTTTTTAATATGCATTGTCCCTGATAAATGAGCAACTAAACTAAACTAAATTCCGTTCACTTCAAGAGGGTCAGGGAATAATACAGTATTGAAAAGAAGGCTCTTTATTTAAACAATGATATCAAGATACAAAAGAAGATAACATGTAAAGACTTTAAATAATGTCTTAGGAATTGGGCATCAAATAAATGTAACAAATAGTAGCATTTTTATACAGTACATAATTGTTGAAATAAAGTAACAGTGCAAGACATGCCAAATTATTGTATTTAAATTAGTTCTAACTTTCTTCATCTTTTGTTAATTGATACATACATAACACTAGAACAATGCATTGGACTTTTTGTGGTATTATATATAAGGTCATTAGAAAGGAGTTGAAAATGTTTTTGCTTCTTTTGTAGATTATTTTAGCAACCAGTGCAGGCAGCGAAGGCACAGATCTCACACACATCCAATGGAACCAGCGCTACAAGAGAGAGAGAATACATAGTTAGAGGCACAAGATACTATTACTATTACCATTACTATTGCTATTACTATTACTCAGACGATATGAATAAGTTTTAATGCCTTTGTCAGTGAACATTATTCCCAACTTGTTTGTGTGGTATTGTGCAACATATAACAATGAATGAAAGAACTATTAATATAAAAATAAATAAATTTAGCTATATATACACACAGTATAATACAATAATACTTGCCCTGCTACTATACAGTCAGTACAATCACAATTTTCTACAACTATTCCTAAAAGTCCTGTATTAGAAATTTTAAGTTTTTATGAACACCACTCTTTTACCTAAACTTAAAGTTGGCATAAAGTGTTAGTTAGCTCCTCCCTGCAGATGGAAGAGGAAATGTCCACCAGCATTCTGACCAGAACTGAAGAAGCAGCTTGGATGAGCTGCGAAACCAGTCGACAAACTGAATTTTGTCCTCGCCATAAAGTGTACTACTATATGTTAAAAGCTACCATAAAATGTGCTCTTCATCACTTCCTCTGTAAATCACTTCCTCTGCAAATAACCCCACCACTACCACTACCAATTTAAATAATATCTCTTGGTTCTCATTATAAGGTTTAATCTACCAGTATTTAAAACTTTCACCAGAACAGCTACTACCACCACCACTACTATTACTAACACATATACATTGACACTGTAAATCTGCATTGGTTTTACCCAGCCGGGCCAGTGATGCAGATGCCCCCCTCTGTCTGCACAGGGGCAGCAGCTCTTGGGGCAGCATGGGGTCGGCGCACAGGGACAGAGAGCTGGTCCTGAGGCGGGGGCTCTGCTTAGCGGCCAACATGTTCATATCTGTCAACTCCTGCAGCCTCCTCACAGCCTCCAGGGAGAAGGCCATTCCACCCTCCTGCAAAATAAATGTTGAAAGTAAAGGTTTAATAAACATTAAATAAACAAATGAAAAACAACTAAAACAAACTAATTTGGCAGTTGTAAATACTTGATAGTTATTTCCAAATCGCATTTTTTCTATTTCAGTTTTGCATCAGCTCGTCCCTTCACAACCCTTTCTAGTCTAATATGAGACTGTCTAACAGGATTATAAAAATGAATAAACAATAATAAACCAATATATAAATGCTTGCTGAGACCTGAGCTGGATACCTTTATGCCTCATGGGTACCTTTAGGCCTCTTGTGGAAATGTCTTAATTCTGTTTTGTTTTTTGTCACAGATGTGACAGTAATGCATTTAAAAAAAAAATTCTATTCACCACCACATACTTGTTCGTCTCTTATACCTTGCTTTATTTAGAAGCCAGCGTAGTCATAGTTACACGTGGAGGAGATAATAATTGGTCCATGCAAAAATTTAAATTACAATCTTCAAGCACTGACTGCTCATGTCTTGAGCCTAACTTGTAATTATTGTAAGTAAGCAAAATTATTTATAAGCAAGCATTTACCTCCACTTCTACAGCTTCAGAGGTCCAGCCAAGTGCCAGTACAAGGAAAGCAACAGCGACCAGAGTAGTCTTCATGGTGTTTGTAGTAATTCTTTCTTGTATTTCGGAGCTTGTGATCCAGGTGTCTGCTCTCCCTCTCCTCTATCATCCTTATAAAGCGTTTAGTCTGACACACCTGCCATCACATGACCAAGTGTGATTCAAGTAAGAGCAAAGTTTTTCTCATGGGTTAATGATTAGATTATGATTATTTACAGAGTGGTTAAAGTATTCATAAATCCTTCTTTATACAAATTTCCCTTCTTTTATGATAGTGCCTACCTGTCTAATATATTGATTTCACCACGATGTCAGACAGAAGTTAAAGAGTTACTATGAAGGAGCATAATGTGGGATGATCCATATCTCTTTTACTCTGAAGAGATCTATGTGCTCAGTGTGGCATTGTCACAGTACTAAAACTTGTTTTTGATCCTAAGGAAAGAGCTTGATACATAATACCAATATGAATACATAAAACCTCTATGAAACACACTTTTCAACACAAACTGTTGGCACTTTCATATATATTGACATCTGGTCTTAGACAAGTTTTGATATTGTTAAAGACATTCTAAAACTATATAGGAATGGTCAGCTGTCTTTTTTTCAGTATTGGTAGTAGTTTTAGCATGTTTTAGTATAATTTTTTATTAAATTTTTTTTACAATTGTATTGTGTGTTATAATAGCTATTGTTTGAAAATAATTTGTTTTGAATTACTTATATGTTGTCTCATAGAAGATACTTTCAATTTTGCACTTATTTATTATGATAATTATGATACTGTCTTAATTCGTCACAGGTCAGTTTTGTGATAGTTTTGTGACCTGGTTAAATGTAGTAGTGTTGTATCACCAAAAGCAAAACCGGTAATAATGTATCTGCAGAGAGGGAAACATTGAAAATAACAATAATCATATGAGAAATTTGACCAGAGATTGAGACAGTTGAGACCAAGTGAGAAACTAACATCAACAAAAAAACATTCATTTATTTTCAATGGACTTTCACTTGTTATTAATTCAACCTTTGCTACTACTCAGAAGGCAAGTTGAACAAATTAGCTTAGAGACATCATAAACCCACTACAAACTTCAAATTAGTCATGATGACAGACATAGACTTTGTCACATTATGAATAGACACCAGTATTTGTCTGACAGGCCCATTGTATTTGATTTCTATTATGCAAGCCCACATCCTGCCTGAACCTATAGGTCAGACATGTTAAAGGATTCATTATGATGGAAGCACGAACATAATAAAAAAAAGCCAATCCCAGACACAGCAGGGACAGTAGGAATAAGACGTATGACCTTTTCCCAATGACCCCACTGTCTAATGCTGAAGCAAAGTGGTCAACCAAAGCAAATCAAGTAATTTCCCTTATGAGTGGCACCAAGCATGTGACCAATGCAATAATGACCCAAATCTTACTAACGAGTTTCCTAATAAGCTCATTAGATACAATCTTTTACAGTGAGAAAATTGCAGGGATGTGAAAAGTGAAAAGCCATTTGTCGCAATGTCAGTGATTTTATTAACCATGTCTTATAGTCATATAACAAAGATTACTAGTTTAATTATCAGGTATCTCACTGAGTCACAGTTAGAGGGTAGATCCTGGTCGCACCTGTCATAGGCTGTTGTATTAGTCATTAAATTAGACTCATGCTAAAACTAGCATGACTACTTATAGTACTTCTGTAGTACTTATGTAATACTTGAATAATACCTATAGGGATGACAAGGTAGCTTCTCATAAATGATATGCAGTAGCTAATCTAATCTACCTACTATCCAGTAAACTGATTCTGTGTTCAGACAGATTTGAAAATTCGACTTTCGTTTCAAGGAAAAGTCCCATTGAATCGCACTGTTAGCAGCAAAACGTACTCCTTTGTCCCACCAAGAATCTTATAAGGTAAATTGGTGGATCCTGCACAGTTGAACAAACCTCTAGGCGATAATTAAGTATAGACAAATCGATAGTAATAGTAACAATGTTATCATTCAAAGTTTGCGGTAGTCATAACCTGTATGCCTCATAGGGCCTGGGCAGACAGGTGGGAGGGCTATAAAAGAAGACAAATCACTTTCTTAAGCAATAACTGCTGCATCATCTGTATAGATTTCCTTAATAATGTGACGTTTTGAAAGTAGGCCAAAAGCTCCAAGACTTCCAAGTCTGGTGTAGTGGGTGTGCGCAGCATGACGTGACCAGAAGCTCTTTTGTTTCCACATTATTATTGCATGTTGGGATTAATTGACATATCTAGATAAGATACTAATATTGCCCTCACTAACCTCACGTCATAAAGTTTATAGAAGAAAACTTATTGATTTCCAGTCAGGTCCATGTACCTTTGTAGTCAAAGATTATAAATAGTGTCTATGTCATGGGAAAGGGCGCTCACTCCGACAGCCAAGACTAATGACCACACATTAAGCTATAGGGGAGTAAATCATAAGCCTGAGAGGAGAACAGCCTGTGTGTTTGCCGAGCTGGCCATCTGTGGATTTGCATGGTACGTTTACATAAGTAGGAAACCTTTTGGGGGCTTTAAATAAATTAGGGCTACTCAATTTTGGAAAATAATTGTAATTTTTTTGACAAGCAATGAGATAAAGATTAGATTTGCAATTTAACGTTTAATATCAGGATTAAATTTTAAGCACATGCATGAACTTTTGAAACAAGACTGGAATATAAACTACCAAACTATATGAAAATCACATGTTTGTATGGATCTAAACTACAGGGGTTATCTGATTTTTATATATAATAATGCTGGATATTTTGTCATTTTTATAACATCCTTTGTGATTTGCTAATTGTGACCATTCAAATCGCAATGATACGATTGCAGTTAATGTTGCATCCCTACTTTAAATTGCAATTATAGCTCTTCAGTAATGAATTATGAATTGATGAGTGAATACTAGACACTGTAGTTATTAATAAATCCTCTCTTTTGTTAGATTTCCCTTTAATTTGAAAGATGCCAGTTACTTGAGCCCGTGATGGAGAGGTGAGTAATTCAAAGATATGAATCAGCTACGTCTCCTCCTACACAAGGGTATGTCTTCAAGTAATGTCAGATCCACACTGTTTTATCTACTAACATCAACTCATCAATATAATTTTATTAATCCCACAAGAGCACTCAATCTGCTTGTCTTCATGAAGATGCTATTACTTTGCCTGTAATGCTCCACAGTATGACTTTATAATTATTTATAATATCATCATTTTTTTTTTGGAAAACATAAAAATGTGATCAACTACGTGTCCCTTAGAATATCACAGTTTTATATATTTTTTCCCATCAAGTGTTAGCAGACTGTTACAGGAGTTATCATGCCTCAATGTCAAAATGTCACCTGGTGCTTATACATATCACTCCCAGTTGACATTTTTGGAGACAGTAAATGTCAGGCCCATTAAAGTGAAGTATATGAGCGGACATGTCATAATTAATCTTTGTGTTTCCTGTTTTTATCAGAGGTTCAGGGCTTGGACTATTCCACAGTCAGCAGCTGTAAAGCCAAGCAGTGTAAATCATGCCATGCAGTGAAATGTCAAAACACTTAAAAAGCCAATTTTATCCACTGAGTATTTAAATGTCAAATAACTCAAAATCACACTTCTTACATAGTTTACATAATATGTCTATTATTTTTCATTATGTTATCTTCCTGTAAATAAGTAGTATCATATCAGGTTATTTATGGTGTATACGATAACAGATGTGGCAAAACAAACTATAAATATACTGGTTAACATTTAATTAACACATCTTGCTTGCTACAGTCTTGCAATGAGAAAGCAATGTGCTGAACCTGAAATCTCTATGTAGGCTGACACATGCTTTTAAAATGAAAATTAATACAATGAATCCAGTATATTGCAGAGAGAATTTTGTGCTTTTGTGGCACTTATAACCTTAACTGAGGTCACTCTCTCTTGGAATCCTCTTCATGATTTCTATGTATTCTTAGTACCAAGAACTGAAACAAGCTCTTGTTCAATCTCCATTCTGAGTGATGTATTTGTTAAGCAGACAGTCTCAGAAGAAGTATGAACTCGTGTGGCAGTGAGTGATAGTTTAAACGTTTTTATACAAAGTTCACTACAAATACCACTACTAGCATTTGAACTACTACTACGAGCACTAATTTTGATTTTATTCCCAGCCTTCCTGAGCTGTAGTTCCCCCAGTTTAGTAACAGTTTTATTTATGTATTGATATTTGTACTAAGTTCCTCTATTTTCCCAGGATTGCGTCACATATCTCAGTATCAACATATAATCAGAGTGGACTAAGATTTCAACAGACATGTATTTTAATTACTACTACTAGAATACTGAAGTTGATGTGCCTAATCATGTTTTAGTGCATGCTAAGTTGTAAACTCACGTATACAGTGGCATGTTCACAATTTATTGCAGACTCTATCTTGATGCATTTGTGATTTATGATGCAAACGTAGGGATTAGGACGTGGGGAAGCACATGGATCAGTGCTTGTTTGCCTATATAAATTGTACTGAAATCGATTTACCAAGTCTCCTGTTATTCTAATCAGACTGCAAGGAGTGCTGACCTTTTATAATCTGAGATATTGGGCATTGCTGTTGAAATGTGTATAAACAATTTCATATTTAAAGGGATGGTATTTAGATTCGTAGTTCAAATTTCATGAGTTTGACCTATGTGTCCACAGTAGAGATGCGCGGATGGGCTATTTTTTCATCCGCAACCGCGACACAAAACTCATCATCCGCCCGCTTTTGCACCGAAGGTTTTCCAAACCGCACCCGCCGCCGTCCGCTGATTGATTTTAGATTTTAGAACAATCATACAGCAAACAAACTAAGGAGCCTCGATAAAAATGCAAACTCTATAGCTCATTCATTCCAAATTTCGCTCAGCGTGTATGTTTGCATTCTTAATTGTCCTTAACAACCACAGACTTACCAGGTTTTCTTGCACAGCTAATTGACAACGTTTTCCGACTAGGTTATTTTTGCACCATCTTGCCTTCGTGTTGAATGTTGTTACATTCTGAACAT